ATGTGGGGACCCCGCCGGTACGGGAATGGGGACACAGACGGGATGTGGGGACCCCGCCGGTACGGAGCGGGACGGGGGAAAGGGGGGGGGACCGGCAGTACGGACCGAGACGGGGGGAGACAAGGGGGACCCCACCGGTACGAGCAGGGGCTGAGGCTTGGGAAGGAGCTGGGAAAGGGGAAAGGGTCGGGGAAGGAGAGGAGGAGGAAGAGGAAGGGTAGGGGGAAGGGGCTGGGAAAGAGGAAAGGAGAAAGAGTTGGGGAAGGGGCTGGGAAGGGGGCTGAGGAGGGGGCTGAGGACGGGGAAGAGGAAGGGGCTGGGGAGGAGGAAAAGGAAAAAAGGAAGAGAAGGGGCTGGGGAGGGGCAGGAGGAAGAGTAAGGGGCTGGGGAAGTGGGAAAGGGACAGGACAGGACTGAGCATCCCTATCCCCCCCACCCCGCAGGCAGGTCCCCCCCCGGACCACGCTGGGTGCTGCAGCCGCGGCTGCCCCCCTGCACCCTGGCCCAGGCTCTCACCTTCTACCTGGACGTGGCGGCCCCCCCGACCCCGCAGTTCCTGCAGCTCCTGGGCTCGCTGGCGCGGGACCCCGCGGAGCGGGAGCGGCTCCAGCGCCTGGCGCAGGTGAGGGGCGTCACCCCGGGGACGGGGGCTGGAGGGGCAGGAGGCTGGGATGCTGGGATGTTGGCCCCGTCCACGGCCGGATACTGGGATGCTGGGATGCTGATCCCATCCCCAGCTGGGATACTGGGATGCCACCCTGCCAGGGTGACTGCTGGTCCCTTTGTCTGGGTGCTGGGTGAGTGTCCCAGCCTGGGTCCCCGGTGTCCCAGCCGTGTGCCCGGCGCGGGGTCCCAGCGCTGTGCCGTGTCCCCGTGTCCCGGCCGTGTGCCCGCAGGACGCGCGGCTGTACGAGGAGTGGAAGTGGTTCCGGTGCCCGACGTTGCCGGAGGTGCTGGCCGAGTTCCCGTCCGTGGCTCTGCCGGCCGCGCTGCTGCTCTCCCAGCTCCCGCTGCTCCAGCCCCGCTACTATTCCATCAGCTCCGCGCCCGGCGCCCACCCGGGCGAGATCCACCTCACCGTGGCCGTCGTCACCTACCACAGCGAGAGTGAGCGGGGACAGGGACGGGCACGGGGCCGTGGGGGCTTCCAGGGCATCTCCAGGGTCCTCGGGCCCCTCCAGGGTTCCCAAACCATCTCCAGTGTCCGCAGAGCATCTTCAGGTCCTCCGTCCCCCAGCCCTGCCCGGGGAGGGGGGACAGGGAGGTGTCCCCAGCCCCTCTGCGGGGGGACTCTCTGGGGGGCTGCCTTTTGGGGTGCCGCCTGCCGCAGCCCCCACAGACCCTCCCGGTCCCCACAGACGGGCAGGGCCCTCTCCACTACGGCGTCTGCTCCACGTGGCTGGCGCGGCTGCAGCCGGGGGACACGGTGCCCGCCTTCATCCGGGGGTAAGGGACTGTCCCCCCGGTCCGCCGGCCTGCGCCCCCTCCTGCTCCCCGCCTGCTCTCCCTGTGCGCTCCCTGTCGCCCCTCTGCTCCCCTGCCTGTCCCCGCGCTCGTCCCCCTACACGTCCCTGCCCGCCCCCGCTCCCCCCGACTACATTTCCCGGCATCCCCGAGCAGGGGCCGGTCCCGGGGCTCCCCCGGGTCCCGCCGCCGCCCGCTGGGTTGGTCCCGGGCCCCCCCGGTGACACCCTCACCGTGCAGGGCCCCCTCGTTCCGGCTGCCGCCCGCCCCCGACACCCCCTGCATCCTCGTGGGCCCCGGCACCGGCGTCGCGCCTTTCCGGAGCTTCTGGCAACACCGGCTGCACCTCCTGCACACCGAGGGTGGGGACAGGGCTGGACAGGGGGAACAGGAGAGCACAGGGACAGGGGAGGGCTGGGGGACAGGGCTGGACAGGGGAAACAGGAGAGTACAGGGACAGGGGAGGGCTGGGGGACAGGGCTGGACAGGGGAACAGGAGAGCACAGGGACAGGGGAGGGCTGGAGGACAGGGCTGGACAGGGGAACAGGAGAGCACAGGGACAGGGGAGGACTGGGGGTGATGGGACATGGTGGGGGGACAGGTGGATGAGGGACTTGGGGAGGGGGTACATGGAGATAGGGACAATGAGGGCATGGGGGACAGGGGAAACGGGGATGGGGGGGACAAGGGGGACACAGGAACACAAGGTCATGGTGGCACTGGGGTGTGGGACAAGGGGCATGGGGACTCTGAGCATGGTGTTGGGGATGTGGGAACATGGGGAAGGGGGTGGAGGCCCGGGACATGGGGATGGGGTGATGTGGACAGGGAGGGAGCAGGGCTGCAGGGTATGGGGACACGGCCCACAGTGTGCAGGGAGCCAGGGACACTGTCCCCGCAGGTGTCTCCCTGGGCCCCATGGTGCTGGTGTTCGGGTGCCGCTCGTCTGCCCTGGACCACATCTACTGCGAGGAGATGGAGCAGGCGCAGGAGCAGGGGGCCCTCAGCCAGGTGCTCACGGCCTTCTCCCGCCAGCCCGGGACCCCCAAGGTGTGACGGGGACAGGGGTGGGATGGGAACAGGATGGGGACACACTGGAGTAAGGATGGAGCTGGGGAGGGGGTGTGATGGGGACAGGGATGGGGACAGAAATGGAGGGATCCATGGTCAGGCACTCACAGCTTTCTCCTGCCAGTCCAGGACCCACAAAGTGTGACAGGACAGGGATGGGACGGGGATGGGATGGGGACAGGGATGGGATGAGGACAGGATGGAGGGGCCCCTCAGCCAAGGTGCTCATGGCCTTCTCCTGCCAGCCTGGGACCTCCAAGGTGGAATGGGGACGGGGACAGGATGGGGACAGGGATGGAGCTGGGGAGGGGACTGTGATGGGGACAAGGACATGGATGAGATGGGGATAGAAATGGAGGGGATGGGGATCAGTGGGTGACACAAGGCCAGGGATGGAGGAGAGGAAGAGAGGGGCCAAGGACACTCATGGGGACAGGGACAGGATGGGGACACAAAGGCACGAAGGGAGGAGGTGCTGGGGAGGGGCATGAGGACAGAGACAGCACACAAAGTGTGGGGATGGGGATGGGGACCTGGGGACGGGCTGGGTGGTGCCAGGTGCCATCGGCCCCGCGGTGTCCCCAGACCTACGTGCAGGACGTGCTGCGGGCACAGCTGGCGGCCGAGGTGCACCAGGTGCTGTGCCAGCGCGGGGGCCACATGTACGTGTGCGGGGACGTCACCATGGCCACCGAGGTGCTGCAGACCGTGCAGCACATCCTGGCCCAGGAGGGAGACATGACGCTGGGGCAGGCGGGGGACGTCATCAGCGAGCTGAGGGTAAGGGCTGGGACCCCACGGGGACCCCCCGGGAACCCCCCGGGAACCCCCCGGGGACCCCGGCCCCAGCCTGACACCCGTCCCACAGGACAAGAACCGCTACCACGAGGACATCTTCGGGCTGACGTTCCGCACGCAGGAGGTGGCCCTGCGCATCCGCAGCCAGTCCTTCTCCCTGCAGGAGCAGCGCCCGCCGGGCCCGGCGCCCTGAGCGGGGACACAGGGGACACGGGGGGACACGGGGGTCCTGCGGCTGTGCCCCCTGTCCCACCACCCCCCAGTAAAGGTTTTAGTTTTGATACCCCGGCCTGGCACTTTGGCTCCTGCGGTGGCACCGGTGGCTCTGGGGAGGGGATGGGTTCTGTGGCACCTCCGAGGTCACCTGTCCACGCTCAGGACATGAGAGGTGGGAACTAGGGGGGTTGAGGGGACACGGCCGTGCTCTGGCCACGAGGAGTGAGGGCACATGGCCAAGGTCCCACATCTATGAGGGGTGGGCAACGGTGGGAGGGGGGACACGGCCAGGGCCCTGTGGCCCACACCTGTGCAGCTGCAGGTGAGTGGGCCCACCCCAGCAGCACTCCTGCCACCTGCCCACGCACCCCAGTGTCACCCCCAAACTGCCACGGCCCCGTCCATGGCATTGTCCTCCCAGCTCCCCCCAGCCCACCCCCCAAGCAGACAGGGGGCACAGCCCCTCTGTAAACCTTTATTTCTGCTGGTGCCCCGGGCACCGGGGGAGGCACCAGCCCCGTGCACCCCCCTAAACACAGCACCTGGGGGGGCCCCTCGCAGCACTCCCAGCCCCACGCCACAGCACGGGCACCAGGGACATCCCAAGTGGGGGGCTCCCATGGGCAGGGCCCCCCCGGCAGCACAGTGGTCACGGTGAGCCCCCCACTGCAGCCACCCCACGCCCACGGCAGCTCCCCCGGCACCTCTGGGGGGTCTCGGCACAACCTGTGGAGGGAATGGGGCATCAGTGGGGATCCCAGAGTGGGGACCCTGGCAACTGGGGACCCCGGCACACGTGGCAGCCAGACCTTGGTGAACCCCAGCCCTGCGGGTCTCTCTGTCCAATCTGGGGGGTCTCTCTGGCCCCAGCCCTTGGGGTCCCCATGTCCCATCTCCGGGGGTTTTCCATGTCCCAGTTCCAGAAGTCCCCATGTCCCCAGCCCTGGGGTCACCGTGTCCCACCCCAGGGTCTCCCTGTCCCCAGCCCCGAGGGTCCCCAGCCCCCCTGCCCCCACTCACCAGAGCCGGGTCCGGCTACGTCATCGTCATCGTCTCTTCTTCCTCCTCCTCCTCCTCCTCCTCCTCCTCCTCGGCCCACCCGCCCAGCGGCATCTCCCGCAGCTGCGAGGCCCGGGCAGCCGAGCCTGGGGGGCACAGGGCACGTCAGGATCCCTGGGACCCCCCCGCGGCCCCAGCTCGGGGCTCAGCCCTGCGGGGGGGGTTGAGCAATGTCCCCCGGCCCCCTGAGACCCCCGCACGGGCAGTGCTCACCTGTGGTCACGAAGAGGGCTTTGTGTGTCCCCGTGGGCACCCACCCCCCCGCGGGCTGGGGGCCGGGGCCCTGCGGCTGCTGCTGCTGCTGGTGGAGCTGGAGGGGGCGGGAGGAAGGGTCAGAGCCCCCCGGCATAGCAGAGACCCCCATATTAGTGCTCAGAGCCCCCCCAGAGACAGAGCCCCCCAGCACGGGGGGCAGAGTCCCCCAGAGGCAGCCAGAGCCCCCCAGAACAGCACTGCTCCCCCATATTGGTGGTCAGAGTCCCCCCAGTATTGATGCTCTGAGCCCCCCACCATAGCAGAGCCCCCCATACTGGTGCTCTGAGCCCCCCCACCGTATTGGCACTCAGGGCCCCTCCATGACAAGCCGCCTCCCCATGGGGCAGTAGGGAAGGGGTCCCCCAGCCCATGACACCCCTGGCCACCGAAGGGGTGGCAGAAGGGGGACATGGGTGACATCGGCCACGGGGCCTCGTTCCCAGTGCCCCATCTGGCAGTGGCTGTGGGGTCTCCGGCCAAAAACGGGGTGGGGTGGGGTGTCACCCCATGGGGCAATGTGAGGGGGCAGCCTGGAACAGGGCCGGGGACAAGGAGCGGGGGACAGGGACAAGGGATGAAGGACAAGACATGGGACAGGTGCCAGGGACAGGCAGGCCCCCCCGGGGATGAGGGCAGAGCAGCTGCACAGTGACACTGGGGTGGGCAGGGGGACCCCGGGGGACCCCAGGGACACACCTGGTGCAGGTAGATGGCGTGGAGGCTCATCTCGGCCGAGGCCACCTCAGCCAGCAGCGCCGAGCGGCTCAGGCTGCGCAGCCGCGACTCGCTCAGCGCCGGCCTGGGGGGGCCACGGGGGGGGCGATGTGACACCCCCACCACGACATCCCGGAACCGTTGTGACAGCCCCCTCCCTACCACGACCACGACGCTCCCCCCCGCCTCGACAGGTATGACCCACCACAACACTCCTCCCCACCACCCCTTTCCCGCCATGACACCCCCTCCCCACCATGACACCCCCGAATCACTGTGACACCCCCTCCCCACCGTGACACCCCCGAGTCACTGTGACACCATGACACCACTCCCTGCCGTGAAAGCCCCTCACGATACCCTCTTCCCTCCATGACACCCCTGAGCCGTGACACCCACCCCGCCACGACACCCCCTGTGACATCTCTGAGCCACCGCGACGCCCCGTCCCCACAATGACAGCCCCTCCCCTCCTTGTCATGACGCCCCTTTCCGCCACGACCCCCGTCCCCACCACAACACACCCTCCCTGCCGTGACACCCCCTTCTTGACGCCTCCTCCCCCCCGTGATGCCCCCTCTTCATCACAACACTCTTCCCCTCCGTGACACCCCCTCCCCTCCGTGACACCCCTCCCTGCCGCCACACTCCTCCCCAAAGCCCCCTCCCCACGCCCTCCCGTCCCCACCTCTCCTCGGGGCTCAGGTGCTCTCCGGGGCTGTCGGGGGCTCCGCGCCCCTGCCCGGGCAGGGGTGTGCCCGGGGGGGTCCCCAGAGGGGTCCGCAGGGACGCCAGCAGGCTGGCGGTGGCGCTGGCCGTGCTGCAGGGCTGCCCGAAGCGGGGGTCCCGGGCCACCAGCCCGCTGGCCATCAGGACACTGGCCACCAACCCCTCGGGCTGCGGGGACACGCGTCAGGGGGAGACCCCAAAACACCCCGCAGCCCCCCCAGACCGCCCCCACTCACCGCCAGGGCCGAGTCCTCGGACAGGAGGGACGCGGCCAGCGGCCCCTCGGCCAGCAGGGGCCGGGCGGGTGGCGCGGTGGCCGCGTCGCGGGTCACCTGCGCGTGCAGGTGGCCGAGGAAGCGGCGGGCGGGCGGCGGCGGCCGCCACCGCGGGTTGCTCAGGGCGAAGCGCATCAGCGACAGCTCCGTCTTCCCGTGCTCCGCTTGGCGCTCCGGGGGGGCCTCCGTGTGACCCCCCGACAGCCACTGCGGGGACAGGGACGTGGGACACCCCGACACGGGACCCCTCACCCCAATCGCCCGCTACGGGGGTCCTCTGTGTGCCCCCCAGACACCCACTGCAGAGACGGGACACCCCGACATACATCCCTCTGCCATGGGACCCCCCACCCCCGGCCTCCCCCGCCCCGGGTCCCCCCGAGCCCCCCGGGCCCCACCTGGGGGTTGCCGTGGTGCCGCACGTCCAGCTGCGCGAAGGAGCAGATGTCGCCCACCCCGGCCACCTCCACCGTGAAATTGCGGAAGAAATCCACGATGTCGAGGGCGCGGGGGGGGAACGCGAAGATGAGGATCAGGGGGGTCACGAGGGGGCTCAGCAGCTCCTCCAGGATGAAAACCTGCGTGGGGGACAAGGGAGTCGAGGGGGTCCCGGCAAGGGGGTTCCGGGGTGGGAAGTACTGTGGTGGGAGGTCCAGGGTGGGGGTCCCAAGGAGTCGGTCCCGGAGAGGGCAATCGTGACCCACTGGGGAGGGGGGTCTCGGGTGCAAGGGGTCTTAGGGCAGTGGGTCCTGGGGTGGGGGTACTGGAGATGGGGTGTCCTCGGGTGGGAGGGTCCCCGGGTTAAGGGGTCCCAGGGTGGGGGATTCCAAGGCATGGGACGGGGAGTCTTGGGGCAGGAGTGTCCTGGTATGGGAGATCCCAGGGTGGGGGGGTTCTTGGAAAGGGAGCTCCCAGTCTGTGGGTGTCCCAGGGATGGGGGGTCTCAGGGTGGGGATCCTGGGACAGGGATCTCCCAGTCTGTGGGGTCCTGGGGGAAGGGAATGGCAGAGAGGAGGGTCCCGCGGCAGGGGGGCTGCACCCACCGCCTTGTACTGGAAGAGCTGTGCCATCTCCGCACGCGTCTCGGCGCGGCCGGCGCGGCCCTGCCAGTGCTCGGGCAGGTAATGGACGTGCGCCAGGACCCGCTGCAGCAGCTGCTCGGGGCACCACACCGAGTGCTCGTCAGGGATGAAGGACCTGGTGGTGATAAGCGGGGTCCCACCTGAGCCCCCCTGCCCACCCGGCACGGCACAGAGCGGCACAGAGCCCGGCACACCCACCGCAATCGCCAGTCCCAGCACCCACCTGGCCACGGTGACCACCAGCCCCAGCAGCGTGATGGCTGTCAGGATGTGCTGCACCGTCAGCACGTCCTCGTCGTACACGGTGAGGACGATGAGCACGGCCAGCACGGAGCCGGCGAAGAAGCCGACGTGCCGGGCCAGCACGGCCAGCAGCGGGCTGCTGAACGAGTCCATGTACTTGGTGGCCGGCGCGTGGCCGCGGCTCAGTCGCGCCTGCAGCTCGTGGCCCAGCTCGTTGAAGTGCCGCAGGTAGTGGCGGGCGTAGAGCGACCAGCGGCGCGCGCCCAGGCTGCCCGGCGCCCGCTTCAGCCCCTCGGCGTAGCTGAAGAAGGCGAGGAGCAGGCGCCAGCCCAGCACGCAGGGGCACAGCGCCAGGTTGGCCACCCCCAGCAGCACGGCCGCCCGCGCCAGCCCCCGCGCCAGCGCCCGCCGCGCCCCCGCCCGCTTCACCTGCGGCCGCAGGCTCCAGGTGTTCTGGAAGAGCGCGGCCGGGCCCCGGAACAGCAGCAGCTCCAGGTTGAACTGGAGGCCGCGCGTGAGGAAGACGACAGGGCCGAGCAGCGGGAGGTGGAAGCGCACGGGCAGCAGGGACTTGTTGACCATGGCCACGGTGTAGTTGCGGAAGCGCAGGATGCGGTGGT